AGTGGTGTATATATATATATATATATATATATATATATATATAATCCTTGTAAATTCATTCAAATCATTGGCTTTGGAATAAATCAAAATATTATAAAATTTCTTATTTAAGGATTTGAGGTCTTACGGACATAAGGTAGTCATTTGTGCAATGGTGGTCTTACACTATGATATATGATAAGGTCATTTAGTATCACATCAGTTGAGGAGTATGAGAACCAAGGATTTATAAGTCTATCATGCCTCTTTTATCCTCAAAGGCATCTTTTAGAGCTCAAATGTTTTGAAAGGATAAATTCGTACAGGTACGCCCATCTCCCAAAGCGGATAATTCTTCGCGAGCCTACGAGTCGCACCAATGACCGACCGACCAAATGATCCCTTATAAATTTACTTTTTAATCTTATTCATTGGTATATCTAATCTCTCGTTATATCGATTACTAGATAATTGGTTCGTTAGGATAATTAACCTATTGATTACATTCGATTTAAAATATTGATCGAAGATGCTTGATCTCAAGTTAGTGATAATGAACTTATAGTCATTATAAGTTGTTTTAAAGTCATTTTACACTACGAAATGAATGAAGAATTATAATTATAATTTATAATTTTAAAATATATATCTTTGTATATTACATATATGTATGTATATATACGAACGTACACCTCTGATTTATATCTAATAAATAGGGATAATAATTTAAAATCAGACCCTACAATGCAACTAATCTCATCTAACTCGGTTAGATATTATTGGCAAATAGATGCATCCCAATTAGATTAAGCAATAAAATTAGGATGCCTATAACGAGAATTGATAGAGCACACAAATGAAAAATCACTCATGTAGTTTTCCACAAGAGAATGGAAGTGAATATTTTTCATTATTTTGATGATTTAATTGGCCAATCTAAGGGGTCGAAATTAATTTCTGGTGTACATGAGATTCATATAATTTTTTTCACGCATATCTGCGTGCGACATACGAATGCTTATAATATGTGAGATATTTCGGTAAAAAAGAAAAAAAAGAAAAAGAAAAAAAAGAAGACAATGTTGAGATGGTGATTGCTTTTTGAGAAGTTGTTCTTATCCTCTCTTGGTTTGGTGACCTAACCAGCGGCAGTGACAGTGGCTGACAGAATTCACATCGCACATCGATGATGTTTGTACAAACAGCATCTTTCCACAGAAATCAAAATGCTAAAATCATGATGTCTTTGTCATGTTCTCATCCTTTTCATCTCAGATCTAATTAGTCGAAGGACGCAACGTAATGGCCGCCATTTGTGGGGGCCACCAAATTTATGTTTTATATTTAGGATAAATTCTAAAAAAAAATTCAAGTTTTCTTTTTCCACACACCATCTCTTTTTATTTTATTCCAGTAAAACATCCCTTATTTTCTAAAAAAAAAATAAAATTACCCCCGATCTCCATCCCTTGTTCACTACGGTTGTTGTTGTTGTGCCCTCATCCATTATTGTTATCGCGAAGGCTATCGTTAATCGCTATCGTCATGGTCTCGTCCATCGGTTGCACCCTCGTCATGGTTCACGTTCGTCGCTATCGAGGCCCTTACCTTTCGTCTTCACCATAGCTTGTGCCGCTATTATCGTTTTCCTCCTCGCTTTCGTCTCATACATCTCTCGTTGTGCCATCTTCGATGATCGTATCCTTGGCCTCTTCTTTTGCCTTTTAGATTTCAAACCTCTTACGAGGAAAAAGTATGCCCCTCGTAGTCGTTCAATTAGAATAAAAGAACTCAAAAAGGATGCACGAACAATGCTTAACTCAATGACCATGCAAGGGAAGGGAAAGCCCATCGTGGCCGCCTCCTTCCCCTCAATCAAGATCAAGAATAAAAAGGCATGATAGAGGTGGGGTCTTAACAGCTTCTATATAGTAGCAGGCGAGAGCAAGAGTTACGAACAAAGACAACCATACGGAGGGCAATGACACAAGGTGGAAGTGGTCGCGATAGAACGACAAAACGAAGATGACAATCCATAAGACGAAAGCTAAAGGTAATTTTATCTTTTAAAAACTAAAGCACGACATGCAGGAAAAATAATTTATCATAAAAAGTAATAATTTGGGATTTTAATAAATTTTACCTTTAGTTTTTTTTTTTTGACCCATGATATTCAAAATAAATGTTGATACCTTTATCTTTTTTAAATAAAAGAATTTGATCCTCGAATCTTGTTATCAATGGTTAAAATCTGTACCTGCGCATACTATAAATCATTAAAATCTTGATAAGTAACACAAATACATCATTATAAAGCCAATATTTTACTAAAATCACACTACACTATTGAAGAACAGTACGCAGCAAAAAAAAAAAAGGGGGGAGACAACCTCATATGTGCACTTAAGCATCGAGATCACCGCCCAGGTTGATAACACGTCACATCACGAATGATCATGATGCACTCCATGACACTATCTCTCTAAATAATCACTTTCCCCTCCTTGTATTCACTCGGCTATTTTTTATTTTTATTAAATTATTATTATTATTATGGATGATTTCAAGATGACTCCACAACTTTAAAAAAAAATTAACAGTGTATTTTTTTTAATGATCATTTTATTTTTATTGATCACCTCTTAGCCCTACCTTCGCTTCGTCGATTGCCCCCCTTCGTCGAACTCGTCCAGTAATAATGATGCAACCTTCGTGATCAATAATGGAGATGATAAGCCAGGGTGAGCTACGTCTTCTTCTTTTTCGCCCGTGATCATATAGTAGAGGGCTATGAGCGACGATGATAAAGGATTCATTGAAAAATAAGTGCGATCAATCCTCTGAGACCAACAGAGATGACAGAGAAGAAGAAGACGTAGCTCATCTATTCACTTGATCAGGAGAGCTCTATGAAAATTTTTTATAATAAAGATATTTTATAAGAAATTCTTATATTTATGAATTAAAAAAAATCATTCGATTTTATGCATGAATTTTATTTTCTTTAACATTATTATGAATAAAATAAAATAAATCTTATTATTGTAAAGAGCAACAAACAGATTGCAGCTTCAGCAGCAGTGCTCTGCCTATATAAGCAGGTAGGCAGGCAGGCAACCTTTCCCTCCATCGTCTCATCTTCTCTTTATCTTCTTCCACACAGGTGAGGGTAAGTCGGTTACGATCGTCATGTTGGGGGTGTTCAGCGGGGAGGTGGTGGAGGTGCCGGCGGAGCTGGTGGCCGCCGGCAGCAGGACGCCGTCCCCTAAGACACGAGCGTCGGAGCTGATCAACCGATTCCTCGGGAGCTTCGCTCCCGCGGTGTCGATCCAGATCGGGGACTTGGGACACCTCGCCTACTCCCACGCCAACCAGTCCCCCTTCGCTCCCAGGTTCTTCTTCCCCCATCTCTCTTCCCCTCCTCGTATGCTCATGATTCCCTAACTCAACGAGAAAGAAAGAAAGAAAGAAAGAAAGAAAGAAAGAAAGAAAGAAAGAAAGAAAGAAAGAAAGAAGAAAGTCGTCCCGATGCATCCTGGAGACGCGCGTCTTCAAGTCCAACACTAGTGACGAAGAGATCGCTCAGATCTATTTGAGATTAGTTTGCGGACAGCACTAATTGATGATGCATCAGACCCTCGTCCCTGATCTGTTTGCTGGAGAAAGGGGAAGGACGAATAACGCTGAAGCGGAGGGGAAAGGGGAAGTAGGGGTGAGATTGAACTGTTGAGCTATACATTCACTCCCTTTAAACCTGCCAGCTAATGATTGGGTAGGGAAAAGCACGTGGGGGCCATTTACTTGTCCAATCACAAGACTGGTTGGTGGTTTGGTAGCTGGTGAACTGGTAGCAATTCATTATTTTGTTAACTTGATTGCCCATAGGTCCGTGGTAGCCAGTAAATCATATATATATATATATATATATATATATATATATATATATATATATATATATATATATATATATATATATATATAT